TCGTTCTCATGCTCTTTTTGGGGTTTATGCACAGAATCAGACACCTGAGAACAATTAAGCACAAACCATATAGTTCTGAACAGTGCACATTTCTTTAAACTGATACTGCCCCCTCCTCTCCCTCTAAATGATGTCTCATGGTGCTCAACAACATCCTCTGCTTCCTGATTTTCTCAAGCCACATGACACCAGAAGAACCTGCTTTTGCTGAGTCAAACCATTGGTCCATCTAGCTCAGTATTGTCTACACTGACTGGTACTGTGCTCCTGTTCAGGATGTCACCAGACAGCCATGTCATCTTCAAAGAAACACTATTTTTGGAAGGTGTCCATCTGGGTCCATTAAGCTCTCTTCTAGGTCATTTAAGAACAGACAAAACAATGTGGGGGCCAAAATGCATCCCTGTCTCATCCCCCTAGTCATCTCGATACTGTTTGATAACTGTCCCTGCCGACCGCATCGGACCTGCATTTTCGTTCCATTGTACAGGGGTTTTATAAGAAAGAGGAGTCGTTTGTCCTGCAAAATCAGATTTAGTTTGGACCATAGCTGGGATCTGGGGATGGAGTCAAACACTGATTTCAGATCCATGAAGGCCATGAAGAGTTTACCCTGTAGAGGCCTGGTATACTTCTCGGCTAGGAAGGACAGCATTAGACAGTGGTCTGATGTTGAATGGTTCTCACGAAAGGCTGCCTGGGCTTCAGATAGTATATTATGTTCATTTAGAAAGGTTGCCAGTTTGCTGCTGAGGAATCGGGCATACAGCTTCCCAATTATTGAAAGCAGGCTAATTGGCCTATAATTGGAGGGTACATTTGGGTGGCCTCTCTTAAAGATTGGGACTACTATAGCATGTTTCCAGCTATCTTTTTCTTCCATTTTCCCTCACCCCACTCCAACAATCAGCTAGCATTCCATGGCAATGGAAAACACCCAGTCCCCATTGAGCTATGTTTGGTCTTTTCACATTAGATTCCCTCCCTCTAAAGATTACTTCTGCAAGCTTGCCAATACTTGACCATAGATGGTGCCATTTTGACTACATCCAATCCTTCACATGTCTTCTCAGAAGTAAGCCCTACTGAGTATAACAGGGCTTACTGTGTATAGGATTGCACACTTGGACAACTGAATTGAATGGTAGTATATAGAGAGGGGTGGAGAACTTGTGGCATTCCAGATATTGCTGAACTATAGCTTCCAGTCTGGTGCAGTGGTTGAGAGCGGTAGACTCGTAATCTGAGGAACCGGGTTTGCATCTCCGCTCCTCCACATGCAGCTGCTGGGTGACCTTGGGCCAGTCACACTTCCCTGAAGTCTCTCAGCCCCACTCACCTCACAGAGTGTTTGTTGTGGGGGAGGAAGGGAAAGGAGAATGTTAGCCACTTTGAGACTCCTTCGGGTAGTGATAAAGCGGGATATCAAATTGAAACTCCTCCGCTTCGTCGTCGTCTTCTTCTTCTTCTTCTTCTTCTTCCATCTTTCGTCACCATCGTCCAAGGTGTCTGGGGATAATGGGGGATGAGGCTGGTCGTAGATTCCCCACCTCTGGACCACACTATCTTGAGTCAGTTTCCACTTTGCAGGGCCGTAAGACAGTGTCCTCCTAACTCTCTCTCTTTAGCAATCTTTCACCGGAGGGGGTACTGCAGAGCCAAACTAGCTTCTCAATTGCCTGGGCACATTGCTGAGATCAAGAAAAAGCATCCCATCCTCTCGCTGGTCCTTCCCCATTAGCATATATAAATGCACAAGCAGAAGACAAGTGCTCATCCCCTTGCGTTCTTATCTAATTTTCACCAGCTAATGTGTGAGACACTAATAATAGAATAAATGCACAAATGATGTAGGTGGTTCTTTCAGTTCAGGACTGTGGTGGTTAATTCTTTCAATTTATAAAGTATTTAAAGTCTCAGTTATACAGAGCACTGGTAGAAGTGTGTAGGCAGAAAGCAGTTATCTCTGCACCTCTCAATCTCCCAAAATGGTCAAAGGCCTGGAAACGATGCCTTATGAGGAACGGCTAAGGGAGCTGGGCATGTTTAGCCTGGAGAAGAGGAGGTTAAGGGGTGATATGATAGCCATGTTCAAATATATAAAAGGATGTCACATAGAGGAGGGAGAAAGGTTGTTTTCTGCTGCTCCAGAGAAGCGGACACGGAGCAATGGATCCAAACTACAAGAAAGAAGATTCCACCTAAACATTAGGAAGAACTTCCTGACAGTAAGAGCTGTTCGACAGTGGAATTTGCTGCCAAGGAGTGTGGTGGAGTCTCCTTCTTTGGAGGTCTTTAGGCAGAGGCTTGACAACCATATGTCAGGAGTGCTCTGATGGTGTTTCCTGCTTGGCAGGGGGTTGGACTCGATGGCCCTTGTGGTCTCTTCCAACTCTATGATTCTATGATTCTATAATTTATTCTTGAGTTTCACCAGCTAATGTGTGAGACACTAATAATAGAATAAATGCACAAATGATGTAGGTGGTTCTTTCAGTTCAGGACTGTGGTGGTTAATTCTTTCAATTTATAAAGTATTTAAAGTCTCAGTTATACAGAGCACTGGTAGAAGTGTGTAGGCAGAAAGCAGTTATCACTGCACCTCTCAATCTCCCAAATTAAATCTATTCTTGCTGCATGGCTAATCACTTTCAGGGCATCTCATCACCAATCTCTTTATTACCAACTGCATTTTTGGTTCAGAAATAGATATGTATATTCCAATGGAGTCCTAGATTGATCTGATTTTATTATCTCAACTCACATGAGTATCAGGGGTTAACCTGGTATAACTCCAAGGGATGTGATGGATCATCTATCAGAGATTGTTTAGAAAGTAATTCACATGGATTTTTATCTAGGGCTGCAGGAAGCCAGTTGAATTAAACATCCAAAGTGATATTTCTGAAATATTAAACCTTCTCCCACTCACTAATTATAGAGCAGTGCACTGTATAGACACTATCAGCTGGAGATCTAGGAGTGATTCAGTAACTCTGATAGGTGCATGGCTATTAAGATATTTGTTTCAAATCAGGAGAAATACTAATAATTAATCAGTGGTGACAAAGGAGGAATAATGTCAGTTCCTTTTCTGTGTGCTGCTATGATGGCTTGTCATCCTTTATTTTATGTTGGTACATGGAAATATTTAAAACACATTGCAGAAAATGTGTCTTGACTATTACTGACAATTGATTGCATTCAACTTAGAGTAGAACCATTGGAATCAAGACGTTTAAGTTAGTCAAGCCCATTGATTTTAGTGCACATACTCTATGATTTAATTGGATGTAACCCCAAATAAACTGATATTTTTGACAGTGTATCTTTCTGCATATTTAATTGTAATATAGCAATAATGATCAGCAGCTATGCATTATCTCTACAAATCACCTCAAACCATTTCACTAGGGTTTCTTTTTGTAAGGATATTTGTACCATTTAAATGAATGAAAGGTTTGCTATTTGATTTCAGTAGAAAGAATAAGCTTTTCATGTTTGTAAAAGCCTATAATGAACCCTCAACACCAATATATTAAAATGAACTGAGAGATCATTTTTCATCACACATTAAAGAAAAATCTGTACCCTCCTGTTCCCCTGGAACATTTCCCTTTTCTTTGAGACACAAGGTCCTTATTTGGAGGTAAGATCAATTAGAAAGGTGAGATTGTGGAAATGAAAGTACTTTGGAAGGGACAAAATGACAGAGCTTTTGTTGCTGTTTTGGATGGACTATTTAACCTGGGGTAGCTAGTGGGGCACTCTCTTAGGTGTGGTCCGAGTACAACTTCCATCCGCCCAAGACAATGCAATGTGGCCACTGGTCAGGAATTATGGGAATAATAGTCCAACAGTGTTTTAGAGTCAGGGGTTAGTCATCTCAAGCCCACCAAGCCTAATCTCCACCTCCTCTCAGAAAGTGAGGGCTAGCTGAGAGGAAACTACACTCATGTCATTGCTTTCACCTTCAGAAACATCAGGTGATGTTTCTGAAACATCAGGCAGCAACAGCAAGGATGAGGAAGAGCAAGCCTAGGAAGCTTCAAGTATTGCCCATGGGCCCCCTGCCCAACAATGCTGAATCCAGGTGCTGGTCCTGAAACCAAGTGTGTGTGTGTGTGTGTGGTGGGAGAATAATCTTGTGATGGTAGCTCAGCTCTTTGTCAGAGCTGATTTGCTGTGATAGGACTATTGTTTGTGTTCTCTGGCGTGGGTCATGTGACTCATCTACACATTGGCCAGGCCACCAATTCGAACAGGTCCACAATCAACTATGCGTTGACTGCAGCACAGAATAGCTAGCCTGCAGATTTGCATCTGTGTAGCCTCCTTTTTTCCTGCAACCAACCCCCTCTCCCATTCCCAACTTCTAATTTACAAAAGTAGATGATAATGAATGGATCTAACATGGCAAAAGTTGCCTAAAGCAGTACAGTATCTCCTCCTTCACAGTCTGTATTACTACTATTTTATTTCCAGCTCCTGGCTTTTCACCCTTTGATATTTTAATAATCGTTATACCCTTTGATCTTTCTGTCTTTCTTTGCAGTATCTTGAAATGCCAGCTAATTATTCATTATAGGGTCACATAATTCATCTGTAGAATATACCTTTTGGTCCTGTCCATATTTTAAAGTAAAGTTACCTGTATTGGGCATCCCCTTAAGTTACGGCCATGTTCATTTCTGCAAAGTGATGCAATCTGTACAGACATGCCAATTCTCCGTTGCAAAAATGGAATGCTCTCCCGTCCATAGAAGAGAATGGGGGGAAGCTCCTGCCCTTATAGAACTCCTTTTGCACATCTGATTTCATAGAATCTTAGAGTTGGAAGGGAGCAAAGGGTCATCTAGTCCAACCCTCTGCAATCTCAGCTAAAGCATCCAAGACAGATGGCCATCCAACCTCTGCTTAAAAACCTCCAAGGAAGGAGAGTCCACCACCTCTCATGGGAGACTGCTCTACTGCCAAACAGCTCTTACTGTCAAAGTTTTTTTGAATGTTTAGTCAGAATCTATTTTCTTGTAACTTGAAGTCATTGGTTCAAGTCCTACCTCCAGAGCAGGAGGAAACAAGGTTGCTCCATCCTCCATGTGACAGCCCTTAAGATATTTGAAGATGGCTATCATATCTCCTCTCAGTCTCCTCTTTTCCAGGCTAAACATACCCAGCTCCTTCAAGCACTCGTCTTAAGGCTTGGTTTCCAGATGATGGTCAGTATTTTAATAAATACCTAGATATTTAGCACAATCTGTACACTGATGTGAGCTGATAGAACCAACGAACAAATTCTGGTGTAAAGAAATAATACACAAGGCAATCAAGTCATTCCAGGTTTAGAAAATATATCTGTGCTGTAAATAACTTTTAAAAAACCCCTAAAGAAATACAACTCCCACCATGGAGATATCTTCACCCTTGCAATAATAACAATTCCCACACAATATTGGCAGGAATGTTATTATGAAATCCATGTTTTATTATAAACTCTAAAGACTGGTCTTCTGCTTTCTGACATATTTGTAAAGACAATAAAGTTCTACCACATTCCAGCAGAAGTGCCTTTATGTTTTTTTCCTCTTGCCCATCATAATGTTTGTGTTAGCTTTTTTGTACAGTCTTCTATACCAATATTTTAAAGTTTCCCCTTTAAGGATGTTCCAGAAGTTGGCAATGACCATATGCACTGCCACCAGAAGAAAAAAAAAAATCCAATTAAAGGTTTGTCAGTGCTGTAAATAATTCTGAGAACCTAATCTTGCATATGGGAGTGTAAACCCGAAACATTAAATGATGTATTAAAACTCAGTCACTTCCCATCTATCAAAACCCAGGTACTGAATCTCAGGTTTAAATTTTGAAATGATGGATTTATTTGCAAATCCCAGTGACAGCACAACATCCTCTGTTGCACATGAGGGCAGCAGGCTAGCATAGAGGGTGCAGGCCTGGCCACATGGTGCATTCAGCTCTTCCTACCAAAACTTCATTGCTCCCCAACATCTGCTGCCAGAGGCAGCTACTTCATTCTCCCTGATGGCATGGCAAGCCCATTTAGGCAGAGAGTTGACACCCCTTTGTCCCAAGACCCATCACAGGTAAGATCCTTAGCATGTAAATGCCCAAAAGGAGTTTCAGCCTTAGCAGCACCCATGAGCACCCATTTACTACAATCTCTCACTGAGATTGGCATGAGCTGGCATGCCACTATAACTAGATGTAATTGAGCAATTGTAACAACAACAAAAAGTCAATACAACAAAGAAAGACCTACATTGGCTCCCAGTACGTTTCCGAGCACAATTCAAAGTGTTGGTGCTGACCTTTAACGGCCTCGGTCCAGTATACCTGAAGGAGCATCTCCACCCCCGTCATTCTACCCGGACACTGAGGTCCAGAGCCGAGGGCCTTCTGATGGTTCCCTTGCTATGAGAAGCCAAGTTACAGGGAACCAGGCAGAGGGCCTTCTCGGTAGTGGCATCCACCCTCTGGAACGCCCTCCCACCAGATGTCAAAGAGAACAACAACTACCAGACTTTTAGAAGACATCTGAAGGCAGCCCTGTTTAGTGAAGCTTTTAATGTTTGATGCATTATTGTATTTTAATATTTTGTTGGAAGCCACCCAGAGTGGCTGGGGAAACCCAGCTAGATGGGCGGGGTATAAATAAATTATTATTATTATTACAAGATGACTCTTTTATCTGCCACACGCAGGAATGAAGGTTATGTGGTTCAGCTTTTGACAACCTCAGGCAGCTGGTGGGATCTCAGCACCATGCAGGCCCCACCAGCTCTGATGCTGGACCTCATGCTAGGCTTTGAGAAGGCATGAAACTTCATTTTAAGTCACCTACAGTGACCCAGACTGCTAATTTTGCATCACTCCAGAGTACTGTCAGGCACCCTGGAGTATTGTAGGAGACGTAAAATGGAGGCTCAGCTTCCCATAGCTGTGCGATGTGCAGAAAACATCTCTCCAATTCGAGGTCCCATTATTGAGGATGCAAATTCGTGTGTGTGTGTGTGTGTGTGTGTGTGTGTGTGGATTTTGGTGGTTTTTCTCAGGGTTGGGAGAAAGTCTATGAACTTTTGTGGAGGGGGGCTTACTGGGAAAGCATTTGACAGACCTGCCTTTTGAAATAAGTGCAGCTAGTTCTATTTAGGACTGAAGAAGAATGGATGTTTTTTAATGAGAAATGGCATCCTTTCATCCCATGCCCAATAGAACATCAAATACAGTGGTACTTACCTGCAACTTTGGAATAACATTTTCCCAAAGGATTTGGAAATTTGGGGTGTATGGAGGGGAAATGTTTTATAAGATGGCTATATTTTCATGTATGTTCCTTTTGAAAAACCAATGAAAACCATTTATTTAGTTATTGATTTAAATGAAGATGAACAATAAAGCAAGCAAAGCATTTCCATCTCACCCCTCAATCCACTTAGCCCTAGTGGCCACCACTAAGTGTGGAAGGATCCGTCCATTTTGGTTCTCTGCTTCTCGTTTCTCCACTCTTAAATTCAGTTCTTCAAATTCATGCAGCAATTCACAGTTTAAAAAAATCTTTATAAAACATCATTTGAGTTTTAGTACAAATTTCTCATAATAAACACATTTTTGAGTAATGTACAAATTTTTTGTAAGATTGTATACTATTCCCCCCAATATATTCATTTTATGCACACTTCCCTGATATATGCAAATTTCAAAACATTGTTTGGTGGGCGAACCGCATAACAAAATTCAGATAAGTGCAAATTTCAAAGGACTGTGGCATTTCAGTTCTCAAATTCTTTCAGGAAGTGCTACTTTGATAGAGTCACCTTTAAATGCAAACTGAATCAAATTTCTCACCTGTCTCTTGCAACCACTATAGGAAAGGTTTCACTAAATGCCCTTTACTGATGGCGTGTGCAAACCTTTTCAGCCTTTAAACTTTCTGAAAACACAAAAAAAATTGAGAACACACACATGCATCAAATTAGGAGAAACTGCTGGGGGAAAATGTTCCAGTTCGGCACAATTGCATACAAAAATCTATATGCATAGTAGACAAAACAGGCACTAAAATGCTGATGAGTTGTTATGCGGATTTTCAAAAACTGCAAACTGATGCAGAAATGTGGTGAAGTGAACTTAAGACTGGGGAAAATGAGAAACCGAGAGAAACCTGAATTGACAGATTTGCCCATCCCCAGTGGATGCACAAAAGGCTTTGTGAAGAGCTGAAAATCAAAGAGAGCATGTATAAGAAATTGAAGTAAGGACAGGTAACAAAGGATGGCTGCAGACTAGTATCCCAGGCATGTTGAGATGTGTCAGGAAAGCTAAAGCTCAGAATGAACTGAGCTTGGCAAGGGATGTTAAGAATACAAAGAGAGATAGATAAAGCACTTTTTCTGGTATGTTCAAAGGAAGAGGAAGGTACAAGTGCTAAGTAATGGGTGACAAAGAGAAGGTGGAACTGCTCAACTCCTCCATATTCTAAAATGAGAGCTGTGTGCAACCTTGGACATGTAATTTAACTGGAGAGGACTCAGGATTGCAGTTCAAAACTGATGCCTAGCTACTTTAAATGAGCTCAAAACTGCCAGGGCAGATGAATGGGCATCCCAGGGCACAAAAGGTGCTTGCTGAGTTGATCACACAATGTGCTGTCATTTTTGATAAATGATGGAGAATGGGTGGGCTGTCCCAGGCCTGGAGGCATGCAAATACTAACTATGGATTGTATTCAGCTCAGTCCTACTCAGAGTAGACCCACTGAAATCAATAGGCATGGTTCATTAATATCAGCCAGTCTACTCTAAGTAGGACTGAGTTGAATACTGATATTAATGTGTGGGAGTCATAAAGCCACAGTAAAGGCTTGTAATATTGCAGGGTGCCCCCTGACCTCGGCTGACCAGCACTCTGAGCTTTACAATATATTGGAATGTATTGACCTTAAATCGAGTTGTGTTTCTTCTGGGCAGTGATGACCCTATATGGTGATGGGGGCAATAAAAGCCTTGACAGGATGAGGTAACGTGAGACATTGGCAAACGGCCATGCGGCTGGAGAGAGACAAAGGATAATAAAAAAGCTACCAGAGGAGAGAGAAGTTTGAAAGGAGCTGCTCATACCATCCTGAAAATATTGCTGGCTCTCTGTGTCTTTATTTTATGCTAAACTGTGCCATTTGTAACGGCTGGCTCTGACATTAATGAACTGTGTCTATTAATTTCAGTGGGCCTACTCTGAATAGGACTAGCACAGAATACTTGCAATCTTCAAAACGTGAGAAACTAGAAAATCCAGGAAACTACAGAAATGTCAATCTGATAGCACGGAAGATAGGAGAGCAGATTATAAAGAAATCAGTTGCTAAACACCTGCTTAACAGTGCAATGATTAGTAGAAGTCACCATGGATTCGTTAAAAATGAATTATTCCAGTCCAATTATTCCACTCTCACTCTTTTTTTAATTGGGGTTTCTAGTTTAGTAGATTGTGAGAATGCCAGTGGATAGAATTCATTTTTATTTCACCAAGGCATTTAACAAGATACTCTATTATATTTTGGTTAGCAACCTGGTTACATTTTTTTATTAAAGAACCAGACTTACTGAAGGTATTTAGAAGGCGGAATACAACATCATGTTAATCTGGTTATTCCATCAACTCAGACATTTCTGCTTGCATGATCTCCCCACCCCAAAAAAACAATGTCAGGAAATGGGAGAGGTATGTGAATTGCTTGGATGATTCCCCATTTACTGTTTTGGGGGTTCTACTTACCCCCAGAGCATCTTTGTGGGGCATGTAGGGGGACAGGAGTGGGAAAGCTGTTCTGCTGGCTCACACTGGTGCAACTATTTAGTTAAATCTGGCCCAGATTGATACCAAATTTATACAGACTTCCTGGCAATAAATATGACCTTATGCAGTTGAATCAGCTGCATAGTGTTTCATTACCAACTTCTACAGAATCATCAAGGGGCACTGGTTGCGACAGCACTACCCTATAGAGCAAAGAAACAAATCCACTGGTTGGGATGACAGCAAAAACACATTAAAGGGACACCATACTTTTTCAGTGTGTAGCACATGTCTGGAATAGCTCAGCTGGTAGAGGATGAGATTCTGGATTTCAGGGCCATAGGTTCGAGGCTCACATTGGGGAAGGGATCCCTGC